GCGGCGCCCGCCGATTCTGGTGGTCGGAACTGAACCGCCGCCCAGTGCGCCCTCGGTGGTGGATCCCCGCAGCTCTGAGCAACTGACTCCCCGGAGGGAAAGAACTGACGAGTAACGAACGGCTGCTGGCCGCCGGCGAAGCTGATCCCGAAGATCCTTCCGACTTCCCTCCCGCCGGAGTTATCCTCCCCTTCGTCGGAGGCCTCCACGACGACCGCCGACGAGCTCGAATTTTCCGTCGACACTGCGGACTCCGGCTCCTTCCCCTTCCTCTGGGATGAGCTCTCCCCTTCATCTGCTTCCGAACCCACCATATTATCCGGCGAACCGTTGAGATCCCACATCCCTCTAATCCTACCTCCACCCTACGCTCTGGCTTAGCTTCGCCGTTCAGCTCCCGCCATTTAAAAAATCTCCATTTCCCCCCTTCTCCATCTAAAAAATCCCTGCTTTTCTTCCTCCTCCCTTGCTCGCTGAGAAAACTAAATCCTAGGACGAGGAGGAAGGGAAGGAGGCGCAAAAAGGTAACGCGATGAACAGGTAATATGTCGCAACGTGGCCGCTTTTGCCAAACTTAGTGCCGCCCAACGATTGGAGTGATCGAGAGCATTTATATAAATCGAAAACAGCATCCAGTCTCAAGCGACTTTTCCCATTAATGACAGTTCTTAAGACGGTGGCTAAACCTTAATCACTCTTCCCTCTTCCTCGAATTCTATCTGCATTAAGGTTTACAGTTTAAACAGCCCAAAAAGCTTGATGTTTTGGGGAGAAGAAAAAAAAAGAGGAGGCAAAAGGAGAACGGATTTCTTGCTTTGGAATCATGGTGATTATTACCCTCGGCCTTCCCACGTTAACCAAATCGAAAAGAATCGGGCATGTGTCGTTTCAACAGCAGCGCGATGAGCCACGGGTGGAGAAAGCGACGAGTTATCCCGCAGTGGAGATCTTAATAATGTGATTAATCACTAATAGTTCATTAATAAATAACTAATTATGCGCTTAGGGCATATGCTCCTCTTAATTTGGAAAGCCCCCACGTGAGCTGCGTTTCTGGTTGTCATCTTCCCCGGTAGGAAAACATATTGGCTGCCGATGCTACATTTACGGGCAGCAATTGATAAAAAATTATTACATCCGGACTTCGAAATTGCAGACATCGGCCGGGATGCAGCGAGGAGGGTAAGTTCCGATTCTCATCCTCTGTTGGTGTATCCGAGGTGTTGTTCGTATATTTGGATATCCGGATGTAATAATTTTTCCAATAATTGAGGAAGGAGAAAAAAAAAATGACATCTGATAGATTACAGTGGCTACTACAATTTATTTTGGTTCGAAAAATTTTTTAGTAGTTGATTAGCGAATTAAGCACATGTTTAAGTTTGAATTTTTGGCTTGAATTAAATTTCAAATTTTATCTTTTATTTATTTTGATTATTTTTAGAGGGATAATAAAAATAAAATCTTTTTGCTTTGCTAATTTTATAAACCCGCAAATAGGGCTGCCAAAAAAGCTCGTTGTTCGCAAACAGTTCGTGTTCGATTTGTTCGATAAGTAAATGAGACAAACGTGAACACATTTTTTTCGTTCGGTTAGTTAAATGAACCAAACACGAACAGTGATGCGTTCGTTCGTGTTCGAATCATTATTGTTCGAAATATAAAATAATTTAAAATAATTATATATAAAAAATTTAT